CTTAAGATATTTTAAAAACTGTTGATGTGACTTAAATAGGCATGCTACTGCTTTGCTATTGTGTAATTTAATGCACCATATGATAAAAATGATCATAGTGTGTGAAGGCTGGGTGTGAGGCAATATCAATACACCTTCCCTGAGAAAATGTGAAATATTTATGTTTGAGATTGTTCTTCAACTGATGTGCTGTCCTCCTTCTACCAAGGGGAATTTACAAAACTGATACCAAGTGAAATAAGTATTGTCATGTGGAAAACATCACAGAGCTTAGGGGCTGCAGCACAGACACCTCTTGGCACAGAGTGGCAGCTGCACCCTTATAGGTTTCACACGAGGACCTCGAACAGCTTCCTGGTGCTTCCTGACAGAGACCCTTGCCTCCTCCCCCAATGGAGACCCTCACCTCCTCACTTCAGATATTAAATTCCATATCTGCCATTTTCTCAAGATATAGAATTTAACACCCTAGGCAAGGATCCAAGGAGATTGGGCAAACTTGTGGCTAGGGTGGCCCTCAGCAGCCACATCAAGGCTGAATGAAGCTGAAATACCACAGTTGCCCTGGAAGACAGTGGAGAGGGTAGTGAAGAGGCTGAGGGAAGTCGGCATGCTAGAGTGGACACACTGCGAGAGGCCAGGAGACACACAGGGCACATGGATGTGCCATTTGCCAAAGCCACAAGAAATGAGCTGGCTGGAGGGATGGAGGGTAACTGAGTGGTCCAATAGAGATTCCCTTTCTAGTGAAGTGTGACAGCAGGAGTAGTGGCCTTGGAGCTAGGGTTACCCACAGATGACGCAGCCCTGAAAGAACAGAGGCCATATGGCAGGTGGTGCAGCTACCAAAGCCAGGAGTGTGCAGTGAGCTCTAGGAACTGCAGGTCAGAGGGACAGCCAAGGAGGCTTGGTCCACAAAGAACTGTGGAGATGGTTCAAAGAGCACGATGACTTTAGGGAAAAATGAACAGGCTACCAATAAATGTGATGATCAACCACAAAATAAAGAAAAAAAACTATTTTTTGGCCTTAAACAGAATTACCTATATTCTTCATTCCCCCCCTCCAAAATGAAGGTATATAAACTTCTGGACCCCAGTGGGTTATTGGGTGATCATGCTGATTTCTTCCATAAGCACAGTGAATAAATTTGTAATCTCTTTCTCTTATTAATCTGCCTTATTGTGAATTGCTCTTTCAATGAAACTTCTAGGGGCAAAGTGGATGTCTCACTCTCTCTGTGACACCCACAGGTACATGCACACAAACACATGTGTGGTTATCAAATGATCTTATTTTTGAAACACAAATTGGGTAAGCCCCTTGGAAGTGAATAGGTATATTTGTTTATGTTTATATAATAGAATAATGGAAAAGGACATACAAAAGTTTAAACTTTGATTTATTTAGGAGAAAATAAGGGAGACATTGTTAGATTTTCTTTGTTCTACTGTATGTTGGCAAACTGCCCATATAACTTTACAGCTTGTAATAAAATTACCGTTGACTTCCTAACAACATGGTGGTTAGGGTTGAAGCCCCCAGTGCAGTTGAAAATCCATGTGTAAATGTTGAATCCCCCAAACTTAACTACTAATTGCCTGCCATTGACAGGAAGCTTTCCTGCTAAAATAAGCAGTCAATTAATCATGTATTTTGTATGTTCTATCTATTTATATACTATATTTTAAGGATAAAGTAGACAAAGAAAATAAAGTATTAATAAGAAAATGACAAGGAAGAGAAAATATATTTATGTTTGTTAAGGGATTTAATCATTACTTGCACACTTAGTGGGCTGAGGAGCAGGAGGAGCAGGGGAGGAAGGACTCTGTCTCAGAGAAGGCAGAGGCAGAAGAAAGCTGTGTGCACAAGTTCACACCCTCTATCAATGTTCTATGTGCAATAAATTATATTTCTAAAATGATGGACATGCCCAGCAGATGGCAGAGCAGCGACACCACATATTCTATGATCAGTGTCCGGTCTCCCACAGCAGGTGGGTCCTGTGACCTGCCGTCTCCATGTTTCCTGGCTGTAACTGCAGTGAAATGACATTAACATATTGTGCAGTCCCATTCCTAGTTTTCTCTGGGTTGGCTGCTGCCGTGTCAGTTGGCTGATGCAGTCACTCTGGCTCTTTCCTTGGGTCACTCCTTGGCTTGGGTGCCATCAATGCATAGTACTGGGTGCTAAGAATACCCTGCTGACTTAAAAAACAACAGAACAACCTCTTCTAATTCTTCAGTACAGTATTAATTAGAGAAGTTCTGTCATCTTTTTCTCAGGAAGATTAAAAACCCAGCTCCTGACCACAAGTCTGACCTGGGGGTACCTGGTGTCTGGCCTAGACAAGTGCTGTCCAGGCCATGGTCACTGCACACAGGAGGCTGCTTCATGAGTGATAAGTGATTTAGTATGACATCAGTGACTAACTATGATCACTGTAAGGGGATGAATCTTTACTTTATCTAACTTTAATCAATTTAAATTTGAAGAGCCTCATCTGACCAGTGGCTATCACATTGGGCAGGTGCTCACCAATGTTATAAAATTCTCTATGTGTCACTCTCCAGTATGGGTGGATAATGATGAGCTGCATCTTTCTGCCTCAGCCAAATACAAATATCCCCTTTCCAGGAGTCTCTATGCATTCTGAAGACACTAAATGAGTGTACTTGCTGTCTGTTCATGTTGTATATATGTGTTTATATGAACCATTTGTCTGTAGCAGCTCAACCTTCAAATGTCTTCTTTCAACTTTATTCAACCAGTTTCAGTTTCCAGATGGTATCAGTGTGGCCAGGATTGTGTAGATATCAGTGAGGTCCTAATAGGTGAATTTTACCATTATTGGAACATCAGCATCATAAGAAGGGAGAGAAGAAAACATCTGCACACATGATGAGCACATAGCTTGTAACGGGAACTTTCCCTCATCCACTGACACCATGTAGGGACTTTGCTCCCCAGGGGTATTTAGTGACATCTAAAGTAAATTTTGGTTGTCATGACTTGGTGGGGACGATAGACGTCAGGGTGCAGGAGTGGGAAGGGCTGCAGAGCTGTCTCCAAGCACAAGGAACGTGGCGTCCTCTCCCAAGGGCATCACCAGCATCAAGGCCCAGAAGCTCAACATCACAGTGATGATTCAAAGAGAGTGAGTTTGAGTTTAGCACCATAAATATATTTTAATGTACATGGTATGGCATTAAGTGAAGCAAGAGCAGCTCTTGTTTGATATAAAACCCCAAAGAAAGTCTTAGAGCAGCAGTTATCTCATTAACTAAATTAATTGTGAAAGTGTGTCGAGCAAATAGGGGCTTAGATGCACAGAAAAAGTGTGAGTTTTGTTAAATACTAGTCCACACTCATACATAGTACTATAAAATACGCAATTAAATATATCTGAAAATGACAATCTTATCACAATTAAACCATTCCAAAGGCATTGGAAGGCATTCCAAAGATGCCTTCTTGATTACCTGAATATTTTCTGTAAATACTACTCTGCAAAAAATGCTGGCCGTGTTTAAACAATAAATTTAAATACTATACAATAAGGTCTTTACCAATATCTTTTATCAAATTGCTTGTGAATGTCTAAACTTATATTAGCTTCTCATGTAAGTTGCTTATTCATATCTAATTTATGTTGACTTCTTATTCTGCAGTTGTTCTAATGTTGGTTGAAAATAAAAAGTAAATAAAATACATTAAGAGATCATGAAACAAAAGTGTAAAGTAAATTTACACAAAGATAGGAAATTCTATCATTTTTAGAGATGAAGCCAAAAGCAGCTCTTTCTCACTAAATCCTTACCTTATTCATTTCAACTTAACAAAAAAACCCCCAAGAGAGTCTGCCTTTAATTTCTGGGCACTAAAAGGCATTTTACATAGTTCAGAGCAGAGTTCTGTGCTAGGCGATTCCTGCTGCAGACTTAAGGATTTTCTTCTTGCTCCAAAATAAACACCAGTGTAGTTTTTAAAAGAGATTAAACTCTGCACCCTTACTATAGAAATAAACATCACATAAATACTGGCTTTTCTCAAGTTTCAGAGAGGTCTACTGTGCTTCTGAGCACTGACAGTTGGATTCACAGCAGCACCATCTCTCATGCTTTAGAGTCCTGTCTGGTGTCCCCTGGCTACTTGTGCTGACAGCAACCAAAGTCAGCAATCTGGACTTGTAAGTACAGGGGACTTGTAAATCTTTTGTCAGGGCCATTTAGGAGGCAGACAAAGACGTCCAGGTCCAGAAGGGAGGCCTGAGCTGTGGGGGAAGTGTGAGCGCCTGCCGCTGGTGCTTCTCTGGTTAAAGTGCTGGTTATTCTATGGAGCATATTGCAAGGGTACAAGTCAAATCTGTCAAGTGTAGAACATAAATGTCTTAACACAATAATCAAGTAAATGAGGCAAAAGCTATGTTGATTGGTTTGATGTAAGCACGTCACATTGTACAAAAAAATCAACACATTATACCCCACATATGCATAAATGTATTCATGATCTACGTGTATATGACTTAATTAAAAAAAATAAAGTGCTGGTTATTCTAAAATGAACAAAAGGGCTGGGAAGATGAGCAAAGGGGGACAGTGAGTGGCAGTGATAACAGTGTCCAAGCTCACAGTTCTCTGAGCACTTTGGCAATGTGAAAGGAGCCCTCTTTCCCTGCCTTGAGGGAGCATGATAGATCATAGGCATTTGCATCTTGAACTCAGTGGCAGTGCACAGCAGCACAGCCTGCACACGATCCCCAGAGACCACACATGGCATGAAGAGTGTGAATGTCGCTGGGCATGGTTCTTAGAGACCACAGGTGGTGGGGACAGTGTAGATGTCTCTGGGTACAGTTCCCAGAGACCACATGTGGCAGGGACAGTGTGGATGCTGCACTAAACATTAGTTTGAGATTTAATCCAGTCCCGGTAATGAGTCACTCTGGTATAGAGTCCAGGCTTGTTTTCCTTTCCACAGTCTATGCCCCAGCTCACTATCCCAATAAGATACCAGATGCCTCCATCCCGTGCAATGACCAAGGGGCCTCCAGAATCACCCTGGGGAGGAAAAAGAAAGGAATACAATCAATTTGAGAAAGACCTGTCACAAATGAGTTAATTAGCATCTGAATGTCTGATATAACAATACTTTAAACTAAAACATGGAAAATGAATTCTATTTTATTTGCCATTAGTATTACCTATTCCCCATTAACAATTGCATAACATGATCTAAATGAAGCTAAGGTTTCAGTTTTATCTTTTTTTAGTTTTTTCTCTATCTAAACAGGGACTGAATGCTGAGTCAAGTGTAGGCAACCAATTCTCACGTAAACGATGACCTCAAGATGCAGCTGAGCCCCCACATCCTCCCTGAAGCCTCCCTTCTACTCTGTCAGCTGAAAACACTCCCTTGCTGTGAATTTGGCTCTCACCCTGTTCCACTCACACCAATGGGCAGGAAGGTGTCCTTGTCATGCTGTGCAGTGATAGGTTGTCCAGGAGGATGGTATGTACAGGGCACTCTGCAGAAACCCACTATTTATTGCTGGTGGGGTCCCTAGACCTACTGAATCATGAGGATGTCCCAGAACCCTGCAGTCCACAACGATTTTAAATTTAGCTTTTAGCTATTCATTCAAAAATGTAGTATGTGGAAACCATTGTGGAACTTTAAAATAGAAGAAATAATTCTGCTTAAAGTGGGCCTGGGGTTCTCAAGCCCTTAGACTCCTTCCCTTCTGTTTCCTTACCATTCTTCTTAGTTCACTTTACATTTGGTGGGTAGAGGTGAAAACCTTGTCCACCAAAGGAAATTCTCTTAGCTCCTTCCAGAGTGCTCATACCTACTTCAGGGCCTAGTGTTTCTTTCTCCTCTAAGCTGAATCATCCAGCTGTGCCTTGGACCACTCACATTGTTTTTCCTTCCTCTCAAAGCAGAGTGAGCGAAGGACACCCTGTAATGTAGAGCTGCCCCTAGTCCTGGGGCAGGAGGTTCAGTTCCCTGGCATCCTGTCAGGACTGGCCCCACAGCAGGAGGTGGGCAGGGGGCATGTGGGGCTGTGTCTCTGCTCCCAGCTCTCCCATCGCCTGCACCCTCCTGAGCTCTGCCTCCTGTCAGGCCCCCACACCTTCCCTGACTGTGGAAACACTGTCCTCTATGAAACCAGTCCTCATGTCAGGAAGGTTGGGGACTTCTGGGCTGGAGTGTGGGGCTAAATCCTTATCCTTTCCTGTTTGTTTTAGTTACTTGTGTGCTATATTGTTAGACTACAAATTCACTGTGAATTCATTGTGATTTATTAACGTCTGCATTTCCTGTGTAACTGCTATAGGCCCGTGCAGCTCGCAAGAACTTTGAGTGAGTGGGTGGTTGGACATTTGTTGCCTCGCAGGACAGCCAGCCAAAGGCAGGTCAGCTGCACACCTCCCCGTACAAAAAAAGCACATGTACACCAGAATTTCAAAGCCATTCTTAGTTCTTCAAAGAATTGCTAAACCATTGGGACTAGTTTTGAATACTATAGGTAAAGTCTGTACATAGTATTATTGTATCAGGGTGCACACTGCTTAAGGTCAAAGATCAGCATGTGGGTAGATGATCTGCTGGACCCCGAGGTGGCCGCAGACCTTCTCAGTACCTTCTGACTGATCAGGAGTAGCCACCCAGTTGCTGGTTATGCTGAGGACCTTCTCAGTGGCTTCTGACTGGTCGGGAGTAGCCACTCAGCTGCTGGTTATGATATCCTTGAACCTCATTTGGCCTTCACCATCTGCTCCCAGTAATGGCTTGTAGTTGGCAACCATTGCCTTATAGAGGGTCTGCTCCGCGGCTGCAGTGAAGAGTGTGTCTGGGGCCCTCCACTCCCTCTGCTCACACTCCTCTCTTCTCCACGTGTCATTTTCATGAGGTCTCATGAATGACCTTGGCTGATGGTGTCCTATAGAGCTGTCTTTGTGGATTTGAGTCTGTTCTTACCTCACAGGCATCCAGCTTCCCTGTCAAGAATCCGGCACAAATCATCCCTGATGTCACAGCACCACCATACACGTTGACTCGATTACAAACACTGTTATTTAGAATCTCCACCTCAACTTCTCGCAGTGTATTGGGAAAAGGACCTAGCAAGAGAAGAAAGAAATAGATGCATTTTTCACACTGTTGCTATGATATGTAATTGTGCTTTGTGAAGGATGGGCCAGTGATGAAAGCTAAGTCTTGACGTGACAGGATTCTGGGCTAAATGGCAATGCCTAGAACTGAGTTGCATGCCCTGTGCCTCCTGCATGCCTGGTGCTGTGTTTGACTCATCTGCTCATTTCATCTTATTTAATCTTTGCAAAAATTACCAAAGGCAGATATGAATGCTCTCTTCTTTAGCTGAGGAAACTGAAGCTCACTTGGCCAGGGGTCTTGGGACACATAGTCAAATGGAGAAGGACATTAGATTTAAACCTAGGACATTTCTCAGCACCTGGGAGAATCTGTAGCTGCTCTCCCTACCCTACCTGGGAACCTACTGCATGACTTTAGAAAGTTCCTACCTGGGAACCTACTGCATGACTTTAGAAAGTCATGCATTTTGAAAGCTGGAGCAGGAGCAGTGCAGAATGGAGCATGAACTGCCAGGAAGCAGCTTAATATGATGGAACTCTATTGCTTCACGAGAAAGGCCAAGTTTACTTTGATAACAGCATGACTTGCTACTTATAACAAACACAGGGTCCATAACAACTGCTAAGAAATAGTTCTTGTTTTATTAATTAACAACACATTTCTTGACCAGTTGTTATATAAAAGGTGTCATTTAGTTTTGTGTAGTATTGTTTTAGCCATATGGTCTCTTCATCCCCCCTTCACAGATCCTATTTTCATGGCTTAATCCTCACACAGGTATAAAGATTGATGCTTTCTTACAGCAGCTTCAAAGGCAGCTGAGAGGGTGAGGAGGACAGCTCTGTCCTCAGGAGACCAAGTCTGGGGCCTGACGGCACAGATATAAGTCTCAACACTGCACAGTTTGCAAGACATGCAACCTTGGGAAGGTCACCAAGCATCATTCTACTCACTTGTAAAAAGGAGAAAGTTATGCCTTTCTTACAAGCTTTTCCATGACTGTGAAAAATAATGAATGTAATCAGTTAGGACAGTGCTGCAGCACATGTTCAGTTCTTAATGAATGGGAGCTATTAGAGTGAACCGTGGAGATTAGGTTTATATATTTTAAATCCTCCATGTGTTAAACTGCTCTTCAGTGTTAATGATGGAAGCTAAGAAAGAGCTTTTAGAAGAGGAGATCTAGGTTTCGAGGGATTTTTCCACTCACAGCAAAGAAATCAAACTCTGTTCTAAAATGGATATATTCATTCACTTAAGACCGACTATTTTGCTGGAAAACTAAGTCCAAACTCTATAGTCATTGGAGAGCTTCTAGGATCTAATGAATTTCTTCACCGCAGTTACTACGACCATCTTCCCTCTGTCTCTGCTTTTGCTTGAATGTTCAGGGAGAGAAGCTGCTCACCAACCGCTCCTGACGCTGCTTCATTGCAGCATGAGCTGCTTGTCTGTGTGAATGCCCAGCAGACCAGCAATCAGATTTTCTAGGCATTATCAGGCTCTAAGCAACTGTATTCTAACTACTTGTAGTTTCGGTGTACCACTTAGCTACTCAGAATAGTAGGCTTGGTTTTAAATTTTGCAAATACTTATATTAACCTCAACTTTAAAAACTCAATTCAAGTGCTTAACAATATAACAAAATGTTTTACTTTATCAACTATTTAAGGAAGAAACTATCCAAAGAATACAAAGTTTCTGTTTGAGTATTCCTTCTGTCTGTTCCAAAATGCAGAAAAATATCAAAATTAAATATCAATTAACTAACCTTACTCTGATGCTTTACAAATTTACAATGTTACTCTGAAAAGTATATAACTTGTTAGAGCGCTCCCTGTATGGTGGTCTGTGCTGGACTGTGGCTTTACACCCCAGAGATTTAATTTCCCTCCATACTTATCACCGCTTCCTGCAGAACAATGAAAACCCACACACTCAGGGAGGACTCTCAGACTGGCCTCAGGGTCACATTCTACAAAATCAAGTGATAAGACTCACAGTCAATGAAAGCTGTACTTTGTAGTAAGAGCCTCAAACAAGAATTAGCGATCTGAGGGCAGACTGCACCATAGGTAGAAAGTTAAGCCAAGAGACACAGGAACTGGGGGCTCATACCGGCATCTCAAGGTCTGTGTTTGCAGCTCACTTTGTATGATTAAGTGGAGTACAAGGCCATAGCTGTCAACTTTATAAAACCACCACAGACACATGGATGAGAGGGACCCTGCCTAATAAGTGCTGGGTAGGAAATGGTCTTCACGCTGCTGCCCAGGTTGGCTCTGCTGGTCACGTGGTTAGCACGCTGAGGAAGCTTAGCCTGACCCGGGCTTGCCATTCGACCCTGCATGAGCCCTGCCACCATGGCAGGATCTCTGCGTGTGAAAAACATCATCCAAAAGAAAAACTGATGTGAAAAAAATATGCTTTCACGAATTTTGGAAGAATATTTTAACCAGTTTCCTAAACAATCCATAGAAAAGGCAACAAACACAGGTACTATGTAACAGTAGTGGTGATAGCCAACACGTCAGACATTCATCACATCTGCTTGGGTTTGTTTTGCAGTGTTTATCATGAGACATCTCATTTTATCTTAATTTTGTACTTCATATCTCCACTCATATGAAGGACAGGCAGTATTTTTTGCTTACTGTTTTGGTGGGACACTCACCGTTTGCTTTCAATGCACCCCATCCGGTGACAAACACTTTACTCTTCGGGGGTACCTCGAGGGTGGCGTTGGGCAGGCAGACCCTGCGTACCTGGCTGGAGAAGGCAACAGGGCTGGCCAGCTTCACCACTGCCACATCAGCCTCGTGCTTGTGTGCCGCGTAGTTCTGGTGGACAGTGATCGACTGCACCTGTCTCCTCATCAGCGAAGGGTTTAGGGTTCTCCCAAAACTAGCTGTCCATAGCCTGGGGTTTTTGTAACTGATCACAGAGGGAAAGGAATACATGTGATTCATTTTGGATCTAGAGCAGCCCAGGACAAGGGTCTTAAGAGTAGGAGAAGGGCAGGTTCCCTCAGGTGACAGGTGATGGTGGGTGACCCCTTCTGGCCTTTTCATCTGAGGCTTCTGTCTTGAGATGGCTTTGCCCTCACCTAGCTGACTACAGACCTCATTCCAAGGCAGCTTAAATTATTCTCTTTGAGGGGAATTTGTGTTACTGAAAAGAAACCACATTACTGCCATTTCTGATTTTAAAAATGCTACAAATTATTAGAAAATATAAATAAAATGTGTAATGTGCCTACATATATATGCACGTAAACACATATCCATGCACATGTATGTGTAGTTATAGGGAGAAAGAGAGGAGTGTAAATAGGAGCCATGTTTTATATATTGTTTTCTCATGCTTCCCTTTACTTAGCATTTTATCCAGAATATTTTCCCCACTTAATATAATTTCACTAAGGTATATCTTTATCATTTCCATGTGTTGTTTTAAAAAAGCATACAATAAACTAAAAGCATAGCACCAAAGATAGTCACAACACTAGACATTTCTAGCATAACCAGCCATATTTATAGGTTAGGGTACTATTTTCATAGTTGTAAAAAATCTGCAATATATCTCATATCTCAAGAAGACTGGGGTGAGTGGTTTAATTTCTGACAGTGTGGGCTTATTCCTAGTATAAATTGAGGTTCTAGATAGTACACTTTCAGGGGAGCTGAAGATGCTCTAACTTTTTCCATCACTTCTCAGGAATTGCCATTTCTCCCTGCAGTGAAGACTATCACAGCAGCACTGGGGAACCCCAGGCATCCAGGAAGGAATGTGAAGGAAAGAATTACAGGAGAAAGAGGGGAGGCACTGGGTCCCAGGGACAGACTATGGACTTACACATCAAAGCAGTGTGCAGCAGTCAAGAGCCAGTCCTGGCTGATCAGAGATGCCCCACAGATATGGACACCTTCCACCTGTAGGCTGACCTGCCATGGCCACGCACCTCTCCTTGCCACCTGGCCATCGGCAATTCTCTCCATGGATGGCAGCTCCTTCCCTAAACCACAATCTGTCAGAAAGGAGCAGGATGGTCATTTCCAGGGAGTTATAAACTATGTAGATGTGTTTGGCAGGTAGTTAAGGGTGGAAGCATTTATAAGTGTGACTTGCCTTAAAAGAGTCATTGAAATTAATATTGCATATAATGATTATTCACACTGATAAAATGTGATTATTCAATTTTAAGTGTTTACATTTAAAAATTATTTAACAACATCCCTGATATATTCAAAGTAATTTCACTTTAAAATTTATTTTTCATACTTTTCTAGGTCATATTTTTGTGTATAGCCATTTATCTTTGTGATATTTGACATTTTTGAATGTTAAATGTACACTATTGCAGAAAAATAGATTTTCTATTTTTTAAAAATACTTGTCTAATATCACACTACTGTAGTATAGACATCAAAGTTTCCAGATAAAAGCTCATGGGTGTCATCTAATTCTAAATAAAAATTTTCTATTTAACAAAGTAAGCCAAATAAAAGCAAATACAATAAAATGAAAGGACTCTATTAAGGAATTCATCAGGGAAATTTTCTTTGAGGAAGAGTGAGAATGTTCAACAGTGTCCTATAGATGCTCCCAGGTATTAGTAGTATCTGTTCTCTAAGGAGAATTAAATCACCTATCCAGTTAAACACATTACACAGTTTGGGCAAATAGTAAACATGGGAATAGACAAAGGTAAAAGTGTTTTGCATTTTATTCTTTGATTTAGAAACATCGAAGTGATATTCTTGGACTCACCGCTATTCAGAATGTGTTCTGCTTGTGCTTCATTAAGATCTGGGAAGAAAAGCAAGATTATTGGTTGCTCAGTGGCGGAACTATTATCATTTAAATAGCATGCCTGTATGCTATAAATTTTTCTGGTTGGGAAGAATTGTATTAGTCAGAAAATTTTCAATTTAAAGATAAGAGAATAAAATCCTACAAAAAAGAAAGGCCTAGATATAAGTTAAACTCTCTGACTATATGTGGACTCCAGGAAAATCCTGGTTCATGATTACAAAATCTTTTGACATAGAGAAGGATTTATGAAGGAGGACTGTGTGTAGTTAATTAACACTATACCAGTTTATTCAGATGTAAGTTAAGACAGGAGAGCCCTAAGATGAGCTTTATACGTGCACCACTGCATGTCAGGAGACTGCTCCCTGGGGCCCCAGGTGGTGTCACAGGAAAGGCATTTAAAGCAACCTGGATGCCTGGAACTGGAAGCCTGGCGTTGAGGCTGGGTCCTCAGGTGCTTCCCTGGAACCAGAATCCATTAGTGTGCAAACAAACTCTTAGCTGCTTCTCCACAAAGTGAAGCGGAGAAAGGCACGGGATGAGCAGCCCAGACCTGCATTTTGTTAGGAAGGAAGCTGGCATGGAGTTTGGTGAGCTTGCAAGTTAATGAGTCTTTAATTTAGGTCAGATTCTGAAAGGACACTGAGTTCATGTGAGGGAAGTTACTCAAGTGAATCCCTTAAAATTATCTTTTGCCCATAGGGAGGACAACTAGCTAATGGGTTCCCTGGCCTTTGAGATGAACCCAGACTTCCCAACTGGACTATGTGACATGCGCCTCTGGTGTCGTGTCCAGCTGCCCTTGTTCTCAGTTGCAACTCAGTGGCGGCCTTGGCCTTCTTTTTCCTGGTTGTGCCACAGCTGTCCCTGCTGTCCCAAATATCCCTGCTGATCCTGCTGTCCCCTGCTGTCCTGGCCATTCCCTGTTGACCCTGATGACCCCTGTTGTCCTGGCTGTTCCCTGCTGTCCCTACTGTCCTGGGTGTTCCCTGCTGTTCTGGATGTCCCCTGCTTGACCATCCTGTCCCTTGCTGTCCTGGTTGTCCCCTGCTATCCCCTGCTGTCCCAGCTGTCCCCTGTGGTCCTAGCTGTCCCCTACTGTCCTGGTTGTCCCCTGTTGTCCTAGGTCTCCCTTGCTGTCCTGTTGTCCCATGCTGACTGTCCCCTGTGGTTCCCAGCTGTCCTAGCTGTCCCCTGCTGTCCTCTGCTGTCCCCTATGCCAGGAATGGCCTTTTATGTGATCCCATTGTCACTCAGAGCTCAGCATAAAAATTTTCTCTTCAGGGAGAACTTCCTGGGCAACTAAATCTAAAGTAGCCTCCTACTCTCTGTACTCTGCACAGAGTTCCACATTCCTTAATAGTAGTGCCTTGTTTACTTACTTATTGGGTCATCAGCTTATTTACCCCAATTAGAATGTTGGCTCTGTGAAGACAGAGACTTTAGATCCTGGCCCAAATAAGCTCTCAATAAACACTTGCTAAATGAATAAGCAGTAATGATAACTAAGTCTTACTGAGTTTGGTGTATCAGGTGCTGGGACAGACAAATTTGCTCATTATAGTCTCACCACAACATTACAGATTCACAAGCCTATTAAGGACATGATTTAAATGGTTCTTGAGGCAAAAGCTTGTTCAGCAGCCATTTCCCTGTAAGGCCAGCTGTGGTCTGGTACCACCCTCTGTAGGGCAGGGGCCAGTGAGTGGGGGCTGGAATGATGATTAGTTCACAGCTCATTTTAGCTCAATCCCACTCATCTCTGTCCATGGAGAAGCTGCTGCTTGGTGTGTGGGATGGTGCTGTGCCCCACGTGGGACCACGGGCTACAGGAATTCAGTTTTATAACTTCACTTCACGTCTTAAATAGGATATGATAAAATATGATGACTTCAGAATTAATTCATAGGAGGTTAATAACAGCTTTGGGGTCCTAATGAACTTTGTTTAATCTTATGCCTCAGCCAGCTACCAACCAGCTCTCCATGTCTATGTTGCAAACCAGAGGGCATCACCATGCCTGAGACAGATGCCAGCAGAGTTGGCGTGTGCCCTTCTCCATGCTCTGGGCCTGTCCTCTCCTGCATGATGCAGACAGGTCTGAAGTGTGACCTGCAGTGCCAGGCTGCCTTCCACACAGTGTGTCTGTGCCCCACATACTGTGGCCCACGTATCCACCCCACTCTTACGTTCTGGGTTCAGGCTGCAGCAAGTGTTGTAAGAGGCAGAATCTGGCACTGGGGATCACCGAGTCACTGGAGAGTACAGGTTCTTATCACATGCATGCTTGATTGATCTAAACTATTCAATTAAGGTCTTTTTAAAAAAATGAAGAGAGACTATTCTAATTGGATTATCAGACAGTTCTTGGTTTATAATTATTTCCACACTAGCCAAAGAAAGATAACCTTTGGTGTCAATTATGTGAAGATTTCTTCATTATCAAGTAAATGAGAGCCTTATAATAAAAAGTATTTTCATTTTTATGGTGAAATAAGGAAGCTTTCTCTGTGGATGAGAAGACTATTAAAATGATTAACTGTTATAAAAGAAGAAAAATAGTATTTCTTGCCTCTAAGATAAGGTAACGAAGTGTCTATCTTCATGAAGCTTTCATTTGAATTCAACTTCTGATGCAAAATGTTATCAGCTTGCCTTTTAATTGTGTCTGCATTGTTCGAAGTAAACTGAAATTTAAGCAATACATCTGTTTTCAAACCATCATTGTTTGGCCTGAAAAACACAGTCATCAGAATACGTGAGGTCAGAGCCACGGTAATTATTATATTATACCTTTTTACTTAAATATTAGTTATATCTTTAAGAAAATACAACAAAATTTTATGCATTTTATTGTCATGGATTTTTTATCCATTACATCATAGAGGTGTTACTATCTAAATTATTCCCTCTTTGTAAAACTTGATCATATCCACAGGTGGTAGAGCATCTGATAGTTTATAGAACTAATTTTTCTAAAAAAGTAAATCGAGAGCACTTCTTAAATCAATCAACTCTGTATATATAGCATATATATAGTCTCATATAGTCATATTCATAT